TCTACTTTCCTCCGTCAGCTCAAAGGGGCCTTCTCTGACTACTCTATGTGAAGTGAATCACTCTCTTTTTAATTTCCCATCACGTTTCTGCTTTACTTTATAGCGTCTTCTACTAGAATAGAGCCCGATTTTTTTTTTTTTTTTTTACTTTTTTAACCTTAAAAAAATTTTTTTTTTCATCCCAGCACTTTGGGAGGCCGAGGTGGGTGGATCATGAGGTCAAGAGATCGAGACCATCCAGGCCAACATGGTGAAACCCTGTCTCTACTGAGCACCACTGCACTCCAGCCTGGAGACAGAGTGAGACTGTGTCTCAAAAAAAAAAAAAAATTTAGAGATGGGATCTCACTTTGTTGTCTAGGCTGGGCTCACAGTCTTAGGCTCAAGGGATCCTCCCATCTAGGCCTCCCAAAGTGCTGGGATTACAGGCGTGAGCCACCACACCTGGCCAGGCAGGAATTTTTGTGATTCCCTGGAAGTAGCTCAGGGCCAGGCACACTGTTAAGTGTTCAATAAATATTTACTGAATGAATAAATGAGGTCTTTGCATATTTCATGGTGCCTGTCACATAACAGAGCTCGGTCAAATTGCGGGTGCCTGGCTGAGGAACACAGCTCCCTCCCCTGAGGTGCCCAGCAGGGATAGGATATTGGGCCTCTGGATTGCAGCCATGTTCAGCTCACCCTCAGCCTTACTCTCCTTAGTGATAACCAAAGGCCCCTGCTTGCCGGCCAGGGGAGGGCTGACAGGTGGGGCTGATGAGTTCCAGGCCCAGTCCTCTGGGCCTCAGCACAACCAGATAGAACCGGATGCTGGCTGGAAGCCAGAGCCAAGCTTCCATGACGTCGTTGCCTTCAAGGGGCGTGCCCTCTCTAGCCCCTGTGGGCCTTCATCTCTTGCCCACCCGGCTCTGAGCCGCCTGCCACTGGGCTCTGGGGAAAAATCGAGCCATCCTGCCTTGTTCTAGTTCCACATCTACTTGTGCGGCCACTAACAACTATTAGAACACAGAACTAAATAGTGATCGGCTCTATAAAGTGAAAAATACTTTGTAGATTTAAAACATTCTGTAAGTACTCACTAAACTAGAAAGGACTTGGGAAGCTTCTGTTCAAAACCGCTACTTGTGACAGAGGAAGAAGCTGAGATTTAAATGAAATAATGGGCTGGGTGCAGTGGCTCACGCCTGTAATACCAACACTTTGGGATGCCCAGGTGGGCGGATCACTTGAGAGTTCATGAGTTCGATACTAGCCTGAGCAACTTGGCAAAACCCTGTCTCTACTAAAAATACAAAAATGAGCCGGATGTGGGGCTGCATGCCTGTAGTCCCAGCTACTGGGGAGGCTGAGGCAGAAGAATCACTTGTACCTGGGAGGCAGAGGTTGCAATGAGCCGAAATCATGCCACTGTACTTCAGCCTGGGCAAGAGAGCGAGCCTCAGCCTCAAAATAAATAAATAAATAAATAAATAAATAAATAAATAAATAAATAAATAAATAAAATAAAAATAAACGAATAAATGAAATCATGTATGTCGATTGCTTAGCACCATACTTGGGACATTGTGATTTTACTCTAGCTATTTACTGCCTGCCCACCTCTAGCTAAGCAACCTCTGCCTTTGTGCCTCTCTACTTCCACACACTCCCCTCCCACCTTGTCAATGAATTTTTTGTTCATTTACGTCACTTCATAATAATATATGCAAAGTGCTTAGCTCAAGGCCTGGCATTTCATAAATGACAAAAAATTGGGGCCGGCGCGTGCGTGGCAGGTGGCTTCACATCTGTAATCCAGCAATTTTGGGAGGTCGAGGCGGGTGGAACCTGAGGTCAAGGATTTGAGACCAGCCCTGGCCAACATGGTGAAACCCCCTGACTCTACTAAAAAATACAAAAAATTAAGGCCCAGGCTGCGGCACGGGCTGATAGCCTCTATCCCCAGCCACTTGGCAGGCTGAGGCAGGGCGGTTCACTTGAGGTCAGGAGTTTTGAGACCAGGGCCTGCATCAATATGATGTAACCCCCATCTCTACTAAAATAGCAAAAATTAGCCGCGAGTGCCAGTGGCAGGCGCCTGCTAATCCAATACTCGCGGAGGCTGAGGCAGAAGAGATCGCTTGACCCGGAGAGGCAAGTTTGCAGTGACTAGCAAGAATCGTTGGCCATTGTACTCAGCCCTGACGACAAAGAGTGAATTCCGCCTCAAAAAAAAAAAAGGCCAGCATGTGTGGCATGTGCTTGGTTCCCACTACTATTTGGGGCTGAGGCAGGTGAGGCAGGGAGAATCACTGTGACCCGGGGCACGGGTTGCAGCCGGAGCCGAGATCGCTGCCAACCATACTCCTCACCTGCGGTGACAGAGCAAGACTCCGGTCTCAAAAAAAAAAAAAAAGAACAGGCAGCACACGGGCGCTTCATGCCTGTAATCCCAGCACTTTTTTGGGAGCCAAGCGCGGGCAAGATCACGAGGGTCAAGAGATCGGACCATCCTGGCTAACACGTAAACCCCGTCTCTACTAAAAATACAAAAATTAAGCCGGGCATGATGGCGGGTCGCCTGTTAGTCCCCCAGAGCTACCTCTGGGAGCGAGGCAGAGGCGAATGGTTGAACCCAGGAGACAGAGTTCAGTGAGCGAGATCCGGCCCATTGCACTCCAGCCTGGATGAACAAGAGCGAGATTCATCTCACAAAAATAAATAAAAATCAAAATAAAAAGACAAAAATTAGGCGGCGGTGCGGTGCTCAGCCTGCTAATCCCAGCACTTTGGGAGCCCGAGGAACGGGCGGATCACGAGTCAGGAGATCGAGACCATCCTGGCTAACACGGGTGAATTACCCGCCGTCTCTTACTTAAAAAAAATACATAAAAACTAGCCGGGCGAGGTGCGGGTGCCTGGTAGTCCCAGGCTATCGGGAGGGCTGGAGGAAGAGAATGGCGTAAACTCCGGCGGGCGGAGCTTGCAGTGAGCTGTCGAAGGCCACTGCACTCCAGCCTGGCGACAGAGCGGAGGACTCCATCTCAAAACGAAAACAAAACAAAAACAAAAACAAAATGTAGCACAATGTCTTATTGGAAACAGGCGGCTCATCTGGATCATATGCCAAAGCAAAGCACTTTGCTATATCAATTTAATTCTCTCATGTTAGGATGAAATCGGTATCATTATTCCCATTTTTACTGATGAGAAACTGAGGCTTGAGAGTAAGTGGGCCTGGATGGATTTCAGACCCCAGAGTAGGAGTTACAAAAATTTGTTAGGTTCTGGCCTTTCTTCCCTTTGTGGTATCTTCTAAACTTGTATTCCTTCCAGCATACCTTCCTGTGCCTTTGGGAAGCGGTCATTTGCTTCCTGCACTATCATTTTTGGTCAATCACTTGAAACAGGGGGGTAAGATGGGGTCTAAAACCTCCAGCAGAATGTATGCCCTGGTGCCCAACTCTGGGTTTTTTATCACGTTTTTTCCCTGAGACAGAGTCTTGCTCTGTCGCCAGACTGGAGTGCAGTGGCACAATCTCAGCTCACTGCAACCTCTGCCTCCTGGGTTCAAGCAATTCTTCTGCCTTAGCCTACCAAGTAGCTGGGACTACAGGTGCATGCCACCACACCCAGCTAATTTTTTTGTATTTTTAGTAGAGATGGGATTTCACCATGTTGGCCAGGGATGGTCTCAATCTCTTGACCTCCTGATCCACCTGCCTCAGCCTCCCAAAGTGCTGAAATTACAAGCATGAGCCACCGCACCTGGCCAACTCTGAGCTTTTTTAGAGTTGGCAGCAAGGATGTTTCTGAGGGTCAAAGATAATCCCGTGTCAAAAACAGCTCTGGAGCAGGAGGAGTCATGTTCTGTGGGAATGAGCCCACAGACCCAGCCACTTCTTCATCAAGTGTCCTGGTCTCCAGGAGCCCCTAGCTCTGTGTTCCCGTAGGATGGTAGGAGCTGCAGATGGAGGCAGGCAAGTGGAAGTCCAGCCCTGTAGGAGCTCCAGTTCACAGAGGGGAACTGAACTGGCCTTTTCGGAGAAAAAGAAGATTTGAACCAAACATGGAGGACCTGGTCAACTTTGATGAAGAAGAGTGGGGTGGGATGAGCAGACTTTCTGTTCAGTGCAGAAAAGCTGGGACTGCTGGTCAAGCCATCAGCATTTCCCAAGCCCCACGAGTGTGTTCCACTGGGTGTTCACACCACAGACCCTCCAAGGGAGGGTTGTCATTGCTGCATGGCAGATGAGGAAACTCAGCCAGGGTCCAAGACTGCAGGAGGGATGTGCTGAATGCATGTAATGAGGGGAGGGGGACCATTCTTTTATTTTATTTTATTTATTTATTTATTGGAGACAAGGCTTGCTCTGTAACCCAGGTTGGAGTGCAGTGGCACAATCTTGGCTCACTGCAGCCTTGACCTCCCAGGCTCAAGCAGTCCTCCCACCTCAGCCTCCCAAGTAGCTGGGACCACAGGTGTGTGCTACCAGTGTGCTACCACACTGGGCTAGTTTTTCTTTTCTTTTCTTTTCTTTTTTTTCGAGATAGAGTCTCACTGTCACCCAGAATGGAGTAGCACGGTGGGCAATTCTTGGCTCACTGCAACCTGTACAGGTTGGCATCACCACGCCTGGCTAATTTTTGTATTTTAGTAGAGACAGGGTTTCACCATGTGGCCAGGCTGGTCTTAATGCTGACCAAGTGGACTCCATCTGCCTCGGCCTACCAGGAGATGCTGGGATTACAGGGTGTGAGCCACTGCCCAGTCACTTTCTTTTCTTTCCTTTCCTTTCACCTTTTTTTTGTTTTTTTTTTTTTTTTGAGACAGATCTTGCTCTGTCCATCTCAGGCTGGAGTGCAGTGGCCGATCGAGCTCACTGCAGGCCAGACGTTTGACCTTTGGGCTCAAGCATCCTCCTGCGAGCCCTCCTGAGTTAGTGGGGGACTACAGGTATGCAATCACCACACCCAGCCTAATGTTTTGTTTGTTTCTAAATTTCTTTGTAGAAACAAGATCTCACCAATGTTGTCTGGGCTGGACTTGAACTCCCAAAATTGTTGGGATTACAGGCGTAAGCTGCTGCGCCCAGCTGAAAGAGACCATTCTGAGAGAGGTTATGGGAGCCTCAGCAGGCTATGAGACAAGCCTCAGCCAGGGCAGGAGCCTGGAAGCAGGTGGGCAGATGAGGCTGGGCTGATGGGAAATGTATGAGGTCTGGGCTGGAAGGGATGTCAAAGATCTCTCCAACTCATTTTACAGGAGGAAACTGGGCCCAAAGAGGGAAAGGGGCTTGCCACAATGGCACATAAGAGGTTAATGGTAGAGCCAGGCTAGAAAGACCCTGAGAAGATCAAGTACACCCCCATTAAACCCAAAGTTCACCCCCACATACTCCTACCTCCAGGCGCCCCCACCGCCGCCCCACCCAACAAGCACGCTAACACTGTTACAGTGACAATGGCTGAATTTCCTCCTATAATAGACTTTTTTCCCAGGATGAAGCCCCCACCTTAAGTTATTAGGGGCTCCAGTCAGACCCAGCTCAGCTTCTGTTTCACTGTGGGGACCCCGGGGCCTTCCTTCCCATTCCCTGGGCCACAGTTTGCTTGTCTGTGACATAAGGCCACTGGACCAACTGACCACTATGGCTTTTTCAGCTCTCAGTGAGCAGAGGAAGGCCAGGCTAGGGCTTCTTCCTCTCTCTAGTCCCCCAGCCCCCAGTCCAGCCTGACAGGGGTGGGGCCAGCCTGCTGGGGCTCACATGCCTGAGGAATGAGCGCCTCGTCCCGAGCAGGCAACATGATCTGTAAAAGATCCCTGACCATCTTTTTGAACCCTGGAGAGGGCATTTCAGTCATGTGAGGACCACAGGGGGATTAGTGATGCTTAGAAGGGAGGCCAGGGAGGCAGCCACCTGGGGGAAAGACTAGGAAGAGGGGAAGGGGGAGAGAAGGAAGTAGGAGTGGGGCAGGCCTGAGTCAGGGATCCAAGACTTGGGAAAGGCAGCTCTGGTGGGTCTGGAGAGGAGGCAGAAGAGAGGGAGGCAGGCAGAGGAAGGGTGTGTGCTCAGGGCTTTGAATGATGCCTGAAAAGGGCCTAGAAGTCATGTGTCACATACAGTCCCTGGCACAAGGAGACCTGGCAGAGGAGAAAGCGTTAAATCTAGAGCCTGCCAGCATGGATTTCAGACCCTTCTACTCGGGCTGTGTGACCCTAGGCAGGTTTTTTGGCCTCTCTGAGCCTCATGTTCTAACAAAGAGCAGTTTTGGTGCATCATTCATACTGGGTGGGCTGTAAGGTCAGATGTCCATCCAACCCCATCCAAGGCTCTTGCCGGTCTTCCTGGGTATGCCCCTCCTTTAGCCAAAGCATATATCTCCCCATGCCCCTCCCCCAACTCCTGCAAGAGCTGCCTGTCCCAGCCTTCTGGGAGTGCCCCAGCCCCTCTGAAGGGGTTCGAGCCAATCCAGGGCCTATGCAATGAGGGACCAGCAGGACTGGGGGGATGGGGGAAAGGACCTTCTCAAGGCTCACTTTGGGAGGGGGAGTACATACCTGCTTCCCCCATCCATGCTCCCCCACGACCCACCCCATGGGATATTTGAGTCTCCTCCCCTTTCCTTGAGCTCAGGCTCTGCTTGCTTTCTCCGCAACAAGGAGCGAATGTTATTTAAAAGGAGATCAGGAGATTTGCCTTAAATAGGCATGGAGTGCTGTGCCAGGGCCCAGTTGAGGGGCGGGAGAGGAGGCCATCTGGGTGGAGGGGAGAAAGGAGTGGAGCTGAAAGAGAGAACAACCTCCCAGGAGTGTGCAGAGCCCTTCACAGTTTACCAAGCACAGGCCCAGTCTGTGGGGAGATGCCCAGGTCTTCAGATGCCAGGAGTGGGAAGAAGGTTTTCTGGGAGGCAAGGGAATAAGGTCTGCAGGGAAGGGGGCTGTCTAGAGACCTCTCCTGACACCTGCCCCCACCATCAGTTTCCAGACCTTTGGCCCCTGCCCCCGGGCTGCCCCTGCCTGTCCTCCCAGCCCCAGCTTGTAACTGGACGCCCTCCTCACTCTGCACCTTCCCAGGTGAGCTGGGGCTCTGCTTACTGAACCCAACACCCGCTGGGGGCGGGGATTGAGGGGACACCCCTGGGGCAGGCATCTGCCTGGAGGCTGAGGCTGAAGGCGGGAGCTGGAGCTGCGGGGGAAGAGTGGGAGATGGGCTGGCTGTCTCATTCACAGCCCCCGTCCCAGGACTCCTCAGGAACTTGGGGTTCCAATTCCCTATTCGGGGTCACCTTCTAAACCTTCAAGCCCCACCCCTCCCATCTTGGTCTGCCTGGGCCAAGGACTCAAGGGCCCCTCCCTGCCATTTATGTCCCAGCAGGTGATGCTTTTGGAATCTTAAGGAAATGGAGTCTGGCCTGTGGAGTTTTGGGGACAGAGCTGGGGGAAAGGAAGCATCCCATGTTTGGTCCTTTATTCAAAGGCCCTGAACACTAAGGTGAGGCCTCAGATACCTGGATGCCCATCCTGGATCTGCCATTTACAGCCATATGACCTAGAGCCACCCACCTTCTGTAGCCTTGATTTCCTCTGTAAACTAGGTCTAAAGATTCCACTGTAGACCTGGCGCAGTGGCCCACACCTGTAATCCCAGCACTTTGGGAGGCTGAGGTGGGCGGATCACCTGAGGCTGGGAATTCAAGACCAGCCTGACCAACGTGGAGAAACCCCGTCTCTACTAAAAATACAAAATTAGCCGGGCGTGGTGGTACACGCCTGTATGTAATCCCAGGTACTCAGGAGGCTGAGGCAGGAGAATTGCTTGAACCCAGGAGGGGGAGGTTGCAGTGAGCCAAGATCGCGCCATTGCACTCCAGCCTGGGCAACAAGAGCGAAACTCTGTCTCAAAAAAAAAAAAATTCCACTGTAGAGTTGTCGAAGTCAATTTCATGAGAAGATGGGCGGAAGAGAGAAGAGGGGGGATTATGCCCAAGTGCACTAACTGACTAGGACCCGGACCTCATGTGTGTTGCGGGAGGCAGAGAGGGGAGATTTCATCCTCCCCTTCCCCATGGTGGGTGGGCACAGCCCAGGTCATCCTGGAGGCCAGACAGGAAGGAAGGCTTTGTGAAAGACGGCATTCATTTACTCTGGGCTGCTGTGAATTTTCTTTGTTATTCCCCAGAGGCTGCTCAAGAGGGGGTTGATGGGGTGGTTGAAGGGGTGGCCCCTTCAGGTGACAATAATCAAGACAAATAAATAAGAGCTAACCTTGAGGGTTTGCTGCGTCCCTGGCCTGACTCCAGCTCTTCTGTCTTCCTAACTCCATCCATTGTTGATTGGCTTTATCCCCATGTCACCAACGAAGAAACCAGAGCTCACATTTAAGCAGAATAACCACGGTCACACAGTCGGGAAGTGATGGAGCCAGTGTTTAAACACAGGAATCTGGCTTCAGGGCTCTCTGCTGACTTTGAAAAAATCCCAGGACCCTGTATCTGCGACTTGGGTTCCAGACACAGCTTGCAATGTGTCCATGGCCAAGTCACCTAACCTCTCAGAAGTTAGGTTTCTCAGCCAGGCGCAGTAGTTCACGCCTGCAATCCCAGCACTTTGGGAGAACAAGGCGGGCAGATCACTTGAGGCCAGGAGTTCGAGACCAGCCTGGTCAACATAGTGAAACCCCATCTCTACTAAAAATACAAAAATTGGCCGGCTGTAATCCCAGCTACTCGGGAGGTTGAGGCAGGATAATCGCTTGAACCCGTGAGGCAGAGGTTGCAGTGAGCTGAGATCACACCGCTGCACTGCAACCTGAGTGACAGAGCAAGACTCTGTCTCAAAAATAAAAAAAAAGAGAGAGAAAATAAAAAGAAATTAGGCTTCTCTCTTTATAAAATGGAGACCATTGTCCCAACCTCTCAGGGTTATTGTGAGAAACAAACTAGAGGGTTAATGAGGCCGGGCATGGTGGCTCGCCCCTATGATCCCAATGCTTTGGAAGGCTGAGGCAGGAGGATTGCTTGAGCTCAGGAGTTCGAGGCTGCAGCAAGCTCTAACTGTGTCACTGCACTCCAACCTGGGTGACAGAGCTAGACCCTATCTCAAAAACAAAAATAAACCAAGAGGGTTAATGAGCACAGAGCAGATAATCTGATGGAAGATGATTTAAAACTTCCCTGCTCTACACTAACTCAGCCCCCACCTCCTGAAGTGTCCATGCACCCCCCACCTAAGCCCAGAGATTGGGAGACAAAGGCTCTGCGGGCCCCTGGGAAAGGACTAAATGACCAATTGGCGCCACCTAGTGGTCAATGGTGCATGGGGAGCGGGAGGGCCCGGCTGCTCTGGGATTGAAGGTGGAGTAAGATCATTGGCCCAGAGCGGTTGGGAAAAATACACTAGGACCTCAGAAAGGATGGGGTCAAGCCTAGCTGGCACCCCACTGAAGACAGGGTGAAGGTGCGCACAGGGCACAGGGTTCTATTCTAGTTCCAGTTCTGCCACTAAGAACCTCTTCTGGCCTCAGCTACCTCCTCTGCAGAATGGGAGTAAACATTCCTTACCTCTCAGGTCACTGTGCAAGCCTTTGTTCACTTATGAAACATTTAACAAAGCATCTGCTTTCAAGTCATCCTGCTGAGGGTTGTGAGGACACAAAGACGTCTCAGCTGGGTCTCTCGGGATCAAGGGATCTGCTTCATCCTAGCAGGGAGGCTGACCTGTAAATTGCTCACCACCCTCAGATGCAGATCCCAGGGGACACTGAGGAGGGAGCATGAGGCATGGGAGGCAAGTGGAGGGACAGCAGGAAGTGAGACTCCCCCTCCAAGGGTGAATGTCTTTGAGAAGTGGCAGGAACTGTGACAAGTCAGGTCATAGGATTATCTTTCTGAGGGCCATCACCTGGCCCCTCTTGCCTGGCCCCCTGCCTGCCTGCCAGCTGGGGGCTGGATTGCCCTGGGCTGAGCTCCCTTCTCCGGGCTCAGCCCCCTCAGGGCCAGGCCAGCCTCCCCACACTACCACCTTGTCTTGCATTAAGGCCTTTAAAGTGTACCATAGGTCCATCAGGGATAATTCACATCTCTGCACATTTGCACTGTATAATTCCTCTGTCCAAACGCCTTTCTCCAACTCGTTCACCTGGCAAACTCAACTCCAACCTTCCTGTGGGAGAGTGGAGAGTGGGAAATCCCCGCAACTAGGAAGGAAACAGAAGTCAAGGGGTGCCCCCCGCCCCCATCAGCAGTGGCCCAGCCTGTGAGAATGTGAAATATACATTTGGTTTTCATCCCCATTTCCTGGCATGCAACTCCTAAAATCCTTGGAATCTCCAAAGTGGTAAGTGTCTTTTTGTATGCTGATGATTGCCTGATGGCCGTCTGCCCCTAGGCAGCTTCAGGATTGGGCTGGTCATCAGAAAGACCAGGGCAGGATTAGAGGGTTGGGACTTTCAGCCCCACCCTATGATCTCGGGGGAGGGGAGGGAGCTGAAAGGTAAGTTGATGGCCAATGGTTAATCAATCATGCCTACATAATGGATTCTCCATAAAAGGCCCAAAAGCAGAGGGTTCTAAGAGCTTCCGGATAGCTGAGCACGTGGAGATTACTGGAGGGTGGCTTGCCCGGAGAGGGAAGCTCCATGTCCCTTCCCCCACATATCCTTTTCTAACGGAGTGATAAAAGTGTTTCCCTGAGTTCTGTAACTCACTTTAGCAAATTAATCAAACCCAGAGAGGGTGGTCTTGGGAACCCCAACTTAAAGCCAGTCGGTCAGAAGTTCCGGAGGCCCAGACTTGTGACGGTCTGAAGGGGTTGTCAGTTTTGGGACTGAGCCCTCAACCTGTGGGATCTGAGGCTGCCTCCAGGTAGATAGCTTCAGAATTAAATTAGAGGACACCCAGCTAGTGTCCCATGTAGAATTGATTGCTTGTTTGTTGATGGGGAGAAATCCCTGCATTTAGTCACAGAAGTCTTCTCTCTGTGTTAATTGTTGCTGTTTAGAGAACAGGAAAAAGCAGTTGGAGTTTTTCCACCCACACCCTGCTATATGAGGGCAGGTTTCTTGGGCAGGAAGCTAGTCCTGGTCGCCTAAGGGTAAGCGCTCTACTTTTCTCATTTCTTTATTCATTCCCTTGCCCCTTTCCATGTGCTGGGTTTCTCTCTCTCTCTCTCTCTCTCTCTCTCTCTGTTGTTTTTTCTGTTTTGTTTTGTTTTGAGCTGGAGTCTCACTCTGTTACCCAGCCTGGGTTTCAATGGCATGGTTGAAACTCACGCTGTCCGCTCACTGCACGCTCTCTGCTCACTATCTCCGCTCACTGCAACCTCTGCCCCACCGGGCTCAAGTAATCTTCCCACTTCAGCCTCTCGAGTACCTGGGACCACAGACACGCACCACCATGCCTGGTTAGTTTTTTGTATTTTGGGTAGAGATAGGTCTCACCTTGTTGCCCAGGCTGGTTTCGAACTCCTGATTTCAAGTGATTCGCCCACCTCAGCCTCCCAAAGTGCCGGGATTACAGGTGCGAGCCACCGTATATGGCCCTCCCTGTGCTGCTTTGCCTCAAATCCTGAAGCTATCTGAGGACACAGTCTTTCCTGGCCTTTGCTTTGCAGGTCCAATTCCTTGAGAGGATGATGCTGAGGGGAAGGAGAGGCAGAGAGAAGGAGGGTTCCGTAGACTGGGGAGGGTCAAGTGGTCAAAGGGTCCCCTGGGAGCACCGCAGGGAGGTGGCAGGGGCCTGCAGGGCCTGGCATGAGGTACCTGGAGAATCTCAGAAAGCCTCCCACCCCATCCCAGGGCCCAGGCTGAGTTACTGCCTACGGATGGTGATCAGGGCAGGCCCTGAAGATGAGGGTGGCTCCTATAAGCCTCACTCTCATGGGACCCTGGGGAATGAGGAGCCCCCTGTCTGACTGAGATAGGGTTTCCCTACACCCCTTGGGATACAGGCTCAAAGTTAAGTTAAATTAGGTGTCAAGAAAAGAAAGAACCACCAGGTTTCTTGTACACCTCATAAAATAACCCACTATTGTGATCTGGTGTGCAGGTCAGGAATGTCTGGAGCTCCCCCACCATATGGAACTCACCTGTCTGCTTCTGGGGCCCTTCTAGAGAGCATCTTCACAATGAGAAGGGATTGCTAAGGAGAGAACTTCCTGGTGCCCAGGTAGTCTCATGAGAAAGACATCTTATATAGCAGAACAGATGCATATGAGACCAGAAAAAGCTGTGATCAGCTCCTGGGGAAGGGGAAGGGGCTGGGTGAGTGGGATGCCTCAGTCATGTGTGGAGGGTGGGGTCAGAGAGAGGAGTCCCAGGTGAGGATGCAGAAGATAACTACATCACCGGACCCTCAGACATCCTCAGCAACCCCACCTTGGGGGATGATGGGAGAGTCATCCTGGGCAGAATCACTAGGCCCTCTTGAAACCTAATGAAACATTCGGCCTCTTGCCAGTGGCCACAGGACTTGCATGGGAGACCAAGGTCAACCAGCCCCATGCCCACCTTTAGGTCTGGACTGAGTTGGGGGAGGAGGTAGCAGAATGCAGAGCTCCTGCCCCTGGCAGCTATGCTCGGTGTCTGGTGGTGGCTGCAAGGGTCTTCCTGGCCTGACTGCTCCCAGCTCTACTACCAGTGGCTCTAGCCTTTCTGATTGCTGTTTGTTTCCAAGGCTAGTTTTCTGGGCTTCGTATCAGTTCTTTGAGATAGCTGTCATTATCTTCCTTTCCTGCTTCAATTATCCGGAGTCAGTTTCTCCTCTTTCTGTCCAAGAACTCCGAAGAGGCAGAGCTGTTAGAGAATACGAGATAGTGCTATCTGGGTTGAACTGGATGGTCCCCAAACCGTGTGTTCAGTGAAGGAAAGAGTGAAAGAAGAAAGTGCAACCAGATTATAACTGCCCTGAGGGCAGGGCCCCAGTGTGACCTGCTCACAGATGGACCTGGGAGAAGGGATGTGTTGTATGGGGAAATTGGGAACATCTGAAATATAAATGGCACCACATTTAAAGACCCCCATGGTTGCCCACTTGTTGTGGGGTAGGGGAAGGAGGTGTCACTCTGGTGGGCTTGTTTTCTGCTCCTAAGAGTGTCTTCTGTTTGGAACAGAGAAAAGAGATTGTGCCACAGAAAAACAATTGACTCATCCGGGTATGTTGGGAGGTCGAGGTGGGCGGATCACAAGGTCAGGAGATCAAGACCATCCTGGCCAACATGGTGAAACCCCACCTCTACTAAAAATACAAAAATTAGCTGGGTGTGGTGACATGTGCCTGTAATCCCAGCTACTCGGGAGGCTGAGGCAGGAGAATCGCTTGAACCAAGGAGGCAGAGGTTGTGGTGAGCTGAGATCGCGCCACTGCACTCCAG